TGGGCAAATCAATTTTGAAATGACCAAATCGATTTTGAAATGGCCAAATCTCATTTACTCAGTAACCTTTTGAATTGGGTTTTAATATGAAAAAAAAAATTTTATATAAGATGCATATTTTTTTATAAAAAAAAAAAAAAAACCTGGTTAAGTTTTATCCATTTCAACATGTGGAAACATGAGAGATGAGTAAAACACTTTTTAGTTTCTACCTCTTTTCTTCATAGAGGCTAATAAACAGATTTAAGGAGTATGAAGTTGACGATAGATAGCTTGTAACAAATAAAAAAAAAAATTAGAAGAAAAAGTCACAACTAAACAAGAAGTTGAGAACACAGACATCAATAACATACACCAAAAATAACCTTAAAAAGAAATAAATTTTTTATCATATTCATCACAAAATAATATATTTATATAAAAAAAAATATAAAACAGTAAAAACAATCCAACAAGCTCACCAAAAATGTATAACATTAAAAAGAAACAAATTTTTTCCTCATATTCATCACAAATAAACATATTTTTGTAAAAAAATATATAACATTAAAAACAAACCAACAAGCTCACCAAAAATATATAAATTGATATTCTTTTTTCTCATATTCATCACAAATTTTATATTTTTATAAAAACAAAACGTAATTTTATTAAAAAAAATTGTTTTAAGAGACCTAAATCGAGCCAAAGAATACAGAAACTTTAGAGTCGAAATCAACCCCAAATCTTTCATCTTTTGAACAAATTGATATGGGGATATGATATATACTTCAATTAAGATTCAAATGCTCCAAATTTCATGAAAAATTATTCACTATTGACATCTTTATTAAAAAAATTGTGAATTTTTTACTTCACGAAAATTTCAGGAAAAATGCAGCAAAACAAAATCGATATAAAAAAATTTAATCAATAGTAAATCAAAATAACTAGTTTATTTGATAGATAAGGACTTTATGATCAAACTTCAGTGATTAATTCTATAAAAATCGATCAATTGATCGATTAGAAATCAAATTGTTTGGATAAAAACAGTTCTTCAGGCCCAAAAAAACCTCAAATCTTCATTGTTTTGGAAAAATTGAAATATGTAAACATTGAATCCTTCAACAATCAATCAAAGCCCTCCATTTTTATGAAAATCTATAAGGTATTAAAGCGACATTTGATAATGGAGGAAATTTCTAATTTTGAAAAATCCTCATTTCAATCTGCCAAGAACTCTTTGTTTTTCGACTTTTGATTCAATAATAGATAATCTATAGAAACTTTACAGTGTATAACATCAACATTTGACTAAAAAACAAAAAAAAATACAGAATGGAAGAAAAAAAGTTGTAAAATCTTGATCTATGAAAATAATGGGCATGTGTCAAATAACGGCTGTTATTTGATGCGTTATACGGCATTAGAACGCACGAAAACAAAAGCAAACCAGACCGGTTTTGAAGAAAAACCGCTGGTTCGACATTGAACCGGCCGGTTTTGGTCTCGATGTTTTTTGGAGAGTTTCGTCTTACCATGTATACCGCAAAACCGGCCCTAAATAGAATCGCCACCCCACCAGTAGCAATCTAACCGGCCGGTTCTGCGAACATTGGTGCTTGCAAACATCATTAAAGTAAATTAAATAATTTATAAATAGTGCTCTCTCTCTCTCATATGTACAATGGTGTATTTAATACAATGGTATATAAATTAAAGATTCTATAAATAGATCTC